ATACATATATTAATATAACCAACTATTTATAACAATCGACAAAGTCAATAGACACCATTTGAAGATAAAATATAAGGAAGAACTGTTGGAGCTGACATCCTGTTTGAAAACAATATCCCTTTGGTTTTATCAGCATTTAGTACCAGTTTGAGACAGAACAAATCTGACTGGATGATGTCAAATGCAGTAGACTGTAAGAGCTGGAAAACCTTAGCAACTGTTTTACTCAGCAATAAACAACTGTGTCATCAGCATAGAAATGTGAGGATGCATCAGGAATTATCTGACCTACATCATTTATGTAGATTGTTAAAAGTGTGGGTCCTAAGACTGAGCCTTGTGGTACACCATTGTTAACTGTTAAATAACGGAGGAATTACCATTATGTTGAACACATTGCCTCCGATCTGAAAGATAGTTAGAGAACCAACCAATGGTGTGTTCTGAGAATCCAATTTCTGAGAGTTTATGACAAAAGATGTTATGATCCACAGTGTCAAAAGCTTTAGACAGGTCTAAGAAAAGTGCAGCACAATAATCCTTAGCATCCAGTGCTTCAGCAATGTCATTAAAAACCTTCAGCGAAGCAGTTGTTGTGCTGTGTTGTTTCCTGAAACCAGATTGATGTGGAGGTAAGATGTTAAAAGAATCCAAATACTTCCTGACTTGAGTATTTATCATTTTTCTAAAACCTTAGCAAGAATACAGAGTTTAGAGATTAGTCAATAGTTGTTCAGTATAGTGGGGTCTTCTCCCTTCAGTAAAGGTAGAACAAAAGTTGTTTTCCAGGCGTTTGGAACAGTATTATGGTTTATGGACAGATTTCAATTATTTAGTAATTAGTCATTATTAGTAATTATTAATTAGTACTCATTTAGTAATTAGTAATTTCAATTATTTAATCCCACGTAGCTTCAAAACAAATCTGTGATAATGAACTTGTATAACTGACTTTACTATAACGCCTCAGTCACACCACTTTGTTGATAAAACATCAGATTCAACAACTCAAAAGGGTCAATCGTGTCATCTGGACCAGTTTCTTTAAGTGAGAAATGTTTTGTTCCCCATCCAGAGGACTTCCTCAGTCTACGGCCTGCCAACCAGATCTGTCCCATTGTAGACTGAGGAAGTCCTCTGGATGGGACATGAAACAACTTAAAGACACTTGTCCAGATGACACAATTTAACCTGTTTTGTTGTTATCTACCTGGATGATTGAGCTGACAACCTTTTTTAATTAGACTCAACAGTTTTGTCAACATCATTACTGCTCTCCTTAATTCACACTTTTTAAATAATTTTATGTTGAAGGGTGCTGATGTGGTTCTCTGTGGGGTTTTGTTTTAAATCTGTATTTCGGACAATGTCAAGTATAAAACTGATCTGTTTAGAATTCATCATAATTTACAGACACTGCACAAGTTAATGGTTTATTTTTGAAACTCAATGTTTTACGTTTTGTTATCACATTTAAACTAGCTGCATGGACAGCAGGTTAATGACAAAGTGTGTGTTGAAGTGCAAAACCATTAAAATGTGATTTTTAAAAACCAATTAAAATCCTGAATTCTTTGATGAATGCGTGTCACCCATCATCTTTCAAATCTGAGTTTTAAACTAAGATCACCGTATGATGAAAAGAAAGAAAGCTGTAGCCAGTTGGATCAAAGCTTTTAACTGATTTATGAGATCTCATTCAATATCTTGAGATATATTTTTGCTATCAATTAGCTCTCAGAGAATGTGTTAAGAATGACTCTCTGCTACTCAGATTTAGCACAGTATCTGTAAATAAGATTGATTTTTTGTCGTTAATTAGCTGTGGCAGCCATTTTATATTGGTTTGACTCAAAGTTATTCAGTTGTAGATGTACATTCATTCATTCATACTTCGAGTTTTATTAAAATCTGTTCTCTGGTTCATATATTTTGCTAACAAATAGACAAAAGAACACACACAAAACATTTGTTGTCCTCTTTTCTTTGGTGTGATAATAAAGTTTTCATGACTTCACTCAGATGTTAAATATTTAGATTAATAAATAACTAATTGGATGTTTTCTTTTAGCCGCTTTTGGAGACTGGTGTGATGCATTCGCTGGCGCAGGAAATCCAAGTCTTCTCCAAAAACCGCCTAAAGAAACAATGCACCCGTGTGACCACAGTGACAGGCAAGAAACTGTTGGAGAGGAGAAGTGATGGAGGAGGAGAGGATCAGGTCGAGGAGCTGGAGGAGGGAGGTGGATGTGGATTTGTTGAAGATACGAGTCTGGACCTCCAAGTCGGTGTGGTCAGACCCTTCCTGCTGCTGGGTAATATTTTTTTCTTTAACACAGTCATTCACCTAATTTTACTGCCAGCATCTCTACACTAACCAGGGGCCTCATGTAACAATGGTGCATTATGCACCAAAAAGTTCCACGCACGTGTGGGGATGTAGCAAAGCAAAATGTACTTAAATATTGGCACAATTTCAACCTGTGGTGAGATTGTCCTTAACGCCGTGCAAACTTTTTCAGTTCCCATTATCATACTACAAAGTACTGAAACTCACCTTTATACACACAGAAAAGACCATTTGTTTTTCTGATCTCAGAAGGCATTTATACACAATGTGTTTTCATGAGTTTGAGAATTTATGGTTTAAATCCAAATGAGGAAAATGAACCACACTTAACCTCATACAAAAATACTTAAAATGTGTAAAATAATAAACTTGAGGGAGATTGGGGGCTGTAAGGTTGTGGCAGGGGAGAGTGTTGCCAGACAACAGGTTGTGTGTAGAATGACTGTTTCTAACCGGGGCCTGAAGCCTGGCCCGGACCGACCCAAACTCGGGCCGAGCCGTAATAATGTGTTGGATGGGCGGGCTGGGTCAGTGTCGAGCTTTTGATTGTGTCAGCAGATCAGCTGCGATCCAGTTATATAGCAACATGGCTTGCCTTACATTCCAATTATATGGCAACATTCATTCAACCTTTATTTAAACAGGTAAATCCCATTGAACCTCGGGGACTCATTTGCAAGAGAGACCTGATTTTAACAAAGAGTGATGACAACAGTGGACAACAAAGACAATAACAGGCAATCATAAAGGATGCAAACAAATAATTAAAAAAAAAAAATGTTAAAATAAAATGGCAACCAAAAGGACAATCAAAAGGAAATGTAACAAAAAAACATCTAGATTATAAGGCGATATAGAAAACTAAAAACAGGAACATGTCTTCATTGGTTTTTGCCAGGAACTTAGCAGATATTTAAAGCCACTTAGAGAGGTCAAGGTCGAGAGCTTCAGATCTTTTTGCAAAATATTTCAGGAAACAGGAGCGGAGTAGGAGAAGGCCCTTTTGTCTAGTTCAGTCCTCAATGAGGGAACACTGCAGGTAATAATGTCCTGAGAGCGCACGCTGTAGCTGCACTCAGGCAGAGACATGTAGGAGGAGATGTATGAAGAAAACAGACCAAGAAGTGATTTAAAGATGAAAATGTACCAGTGAGAGAGTCTGCGTGAAGTTAATGATGACCAGTTAACCAGTGAATACAGGGATACAGGGTTCATTCAGCCTCTGCACTCAGCGGATGTGCGCAGCCGACAACCCAAACAGTTGAGATCCCAAAGCAGACATGTCAGAGAAGGATTTAATGTAGTTTGATGGCCATGAAAGGACCAACACCCCTTCAGCTCACTCCGATCTTCTGCCCCTTTTATTCAGCCATGCACGTCCGCTGACCGTTAATAATTATATAAGCAGTCAAAGCTTTATTAAAAATGTTTTTGTTTTTTTTCTAGTTTGGACCTTTAATTACTGTTAATTTGTCAGGTCGTGTTAGGGTTCAGAAATTATGGCTACGAGCTGGGGCCGGGTTGGATCTGATTTTTTTGAGCCTGAATGCAACTCTAGTAAGAATGTACTTGGTGTGTCATCTGGACAGAGAATGGATGATAAGGAAACCTGGTGGTGAAATAGTGAAGTGCAGGAAGCAATTCAAAGAAAGTGGTTAGACAAGAAGAAATATGGCAGTGAGAGGACTGAAGAGAAGAGACACGAATATGATGGGACGTAGAGCAAAGAGGGAGGTGGCAAAGGCAAAGCAGAAGGTGTATGATGAGTTGTATGGGAGGCTGGACACTAAAGAGGGTGAGAAGGACAGAGGGATCAGGCTGGAAAGGATGTGCAGCAGGTTAGACTTGTTAAAGATAGGAATGGCAATGTTCTAACAAGCAAGGACATATTATGGCAAGATGGAAAGAGTACTTTGAGACGCTAACAAATGAAGAGAATGAAAGAGAAAGAAAAGAAGAGGTCATAGAAACTGTGATTGTGCATTTGTGGGCCACATTGCTAGTGCACAGACCCTGGTTCCAAAAATATACAGTAATATGGAATGTCTGTAAACTAATTCCAGCTGGCTTTAATTCCCCTAACAGATGAAGATAGGACACTTGGTCTATTAAAGTAATATGGTTATGGTTCAGACTACCAAACATATGCTAGACCACCTCCAGAGTAAGTGAAGACATTTTCATTGTGCAATGAGAGATTTCACAGCTGTATTTAACACCCAGGAAGAATGTTAATGTCAAGTATGAACAAGGTCACACAGACTTAACTTTACAAACCTATATAAGTCATGCTGTCATATTCTTTTAAAAAGCAAAGGCTTTCTCCTGAACTCATTCTATAAATACCTGACTTTCACCATTTAACCTGTTAACAGATGTCAGCTGCATCAGAGACACACCTTTTGGAATTTTTTTGCTGTATATCTGAGCATTTTATGTTCTGATTTTGGAGTGAAGTAAGTGCAAATCGCAAATCTGGAAAAATGAGAAAGAATGTTTTTCTTGCTCGTGAATAAGTTATGAACTTCAAATCTTTTGCTAAAAGCCATTCTCAGACTGAAGGACAATTTTTCACAGTTTTTCATTTTGCCTTAGTTTGTGTTAAACAAGGACAGATTATAGACACACTGGTGGGGGTGTCATTTGGAATAAAGTAGATGCCATGTTTAACAACCCGTTAAAATACAAGTTGTTAAACATTTGTGTTTACCTATATATGTAAACACTTTATTCAATAACTATTTTAGAGAGCAACAAGAAGTAACCTGACCAACAGCTCTCCTTGTGTGAATAGAGCATGCACCGCTTCTCTCATGCATCCTAACGCCCCCACCCCGGTCGAAAGCTGCTGACACTAACATAGCACTAAACTAGCGGTGTGCAATATAGACACGCTAGTCAAGATGCTACAGACGTAGCGTTCCGCTTCTCTCATGCATCCTTATCCCCCACCCGGTCAACAACTGCAGGCACTAATGTAGCACTAAGCTAGTGCGCAACACAGAAGTGTCTCTCTCTCCTCCCTCCACGCCGTCAACAAACCCTCTGAAGATATGAGCGTCCTGCCAAGCCAAGTGACTGCTGAAACACTGCACACTGTGAGGTGAGTTGTTGTTGGTAACCAGAAAAAACCCAGAGTGGACTTTTAGTGGTTTGAGTATTCTCCTATAATCAAGTGGAATGGATTCACAAAGAAATAGAAACAGCACTGGGTGAACTAATATTTCATGGTAAGTGTGTGTGTGTGTGTGTGTGTGTGTGGGGTTCCCATATTAATATTTTTTTAATGTAAGGGGGATGTATCCCCTTCACATATAACTGATGTGACACCTATCTTCCAAACACAAACTTGAAGAGCTACCCACTGTGCAATATTTTTAAGGTTTTGCACTAACTGCTACAATTAACACTGTCTATTAGCAAAATATCTTATGAACCATTAGATTTTATTGCAACAAAGTAATAACTGGATTTACAAAAGATTGACTTTTGTTGTCATTTCAGTTCAAGATGACAGCCACAGCTAATTAACATGATCTAGTACAAAAATGGCTATAACCCTCTCAGATTTACAAATAATGAGATAAAGTTAATGATCAAATGGCTGTGGTAGCCATCTTGATTTAAAACTGGGTCATGAAAGACAGCAGGTGATACACATTCTTTACAGCCTTTAATTCTAGAAACAAACAAGCAGTAGAGCTTCACGTTCTGCTGTAGACTTGAAGAGAAGAGGCCCTTAGTGTTTAACCAGTTGCTGGTTAGTTTCGTCCCTGACCACTATACTGTGGTTGTAAAGAGAATCATGAGGTTTCCCACTTGTTTTTGTTTGCTCACCAGTGGTGTGTCAATTAAAAACACTTAGCATGCTCCGACCACCACACTGTTGCTCATGAGGATTTATCAAACACTCAATCTTCCACTCCACAAAGGTCATTGTTTGTATATTAAATAAATAAATTCCTAATCAGGAATAAATCAATATCATTAGTTTTGAATTTGTCTCGGGCAGAGCTTTGACCTGTCCAGCAGCTGAAGGACACGGGTTGACGTCTCCGCATGTCAGCACGTATCCGTCGCCCCCGAAGTGTCCCTGAGCTCGACGCTGAATGACCAACCAGTTCTGAAGTGCTGCTCACTCCTGTCACAAACGCTGCGCCTTGACCTCACTGCCAGAGAGAATGTGAAAGTGAATTTCTCAGCAGGGATCAATAAAAATATTACATCTGTTTAGCGTGACAGAGGTGACTCCTATCTGCATACACTCATTTATAGATCACTGTGTAAAACTCTTTCTCTTTCCCAAAAATCTAATTGATACTAATAGACTGTAGCAGCATATGTGTGGCTTTGCTCACAAAGCACAAGCTTTGAAAAATAACCTGAATAAATACAACAAAAACAATGTATCAAATAAAGATAGTCCATAAATAAATGACTTTCAGCTACTTATACACCAAATTTTGGCTTAATATCTGTAAATAAAAAAAATAAAAAAACACCTGAGCATCAACATCAAGCAAACAGAAACACTTGTGTGTAACATCATCTGAGAGACTCAAGTCAGTAGATTCAAATATTTGAGTTCCCTAGTAACAACGGACAAAACATCTCAGAAAGAAATCAAGACCAGAACCACGAGTATCCACGGACCTCCTAACAAACGTACGCCTCTCCTTGAAGAGCAGAGAGCGTGTGCTGGAGTGTTGCATCAACCCTGTTGTGAAATATGCAAATTAAGCTCGGACCATGAACCAAACAGCTGTTCACATTGTAAACGCTGCAGAAATGAGGTTCCTCAGAAGAATACTTAAGATACCATAGCCAATGAATAAGTGTTAACAAGAGCAAACGGTAGACAAGCCCTTTGTAAAATGATCTCGCAGGGACAGGGCAATGTGCTCAGACACAGCTGGAGGAGAGAAGGGTTAGATCATATGTGCCAAACTCAAGTCCCGGGGGTCA